ACACACACACACACACACACACACACACACACACACACACACGCACACATTCCGTGCCACTACCTTCCCGAATGCTGCTCCAATATAAAGACTGCATTTTTAAATCGCGAGGAAAATGACTAAGGAGCTCAGTGATCACATTTCAACACATTACCCAAAACTAGGGGTGCGAGGAATCACATACACACTCACACCTGGGAGCCCCCCAGAGCGTCCGCAGCCTCAGTTCGCTCCGAAGTGAACGTGAATACCGCGGCCAGGATGCCAACGAGGAGAAGTGGGCGCTGCGCGGGTTGCAGAGGTCGCGGGACTCGGGTCGCGTCTTCGGGTTCCCGGCTCCAACCGCAGCGCGCGGGGCCGCTGCAGCCAGCGCTCACCCCGCAGGGCAGGCTGCAGCGCTGGAGCCCGGCGCCGCCTCGCGGGCTCCGCCAGCGCCCGCCGGGAGTCTGGGGCGGGGGGATCTGCAGAGGGGCTGCGGGCTACTGGGCCGTGGCGGAGAAGAGGAGCCGGGCGCGGCAGACAAACCCGGGGCGCGCCGCCTCTCTCCTACCCTCCGTCCAGAGTCCCCGGCCCGCGCCCACATCTCTGCACTACCGTAACATTCGCTGCCAGCCTCCAGTCCGCGGCGGGCTCCGGAGTCTGCGGCGGTAGCTCAGGGCTCCAAGCTGCCCTGCCTAGCCCGCAACCCGCGCCCTCGCCTCCCTCCCTCCCTCGCGCGGCGCGGGCCAGGGGAGCAGGATATCTCCCCGAGCCCTGCGCTGCTGCTTGAGCTACCCGGACCTTCGAGCGCAGAGGGGCAACAGAACTGGCGAGGAGCCTCCGCGGTCCCCAAGCGCTTTTCCGTGGAGCGGATCACGCTGCCTTACCGTGGCTGCAGGCTGCCTCCGCCGGGGAAGCCGGAAGGAGGGCGGCAGCGAGGCAAGGCGCCGCGCCGGTGGGTCCTCTCGCTCTTGGCGGCGCGGCTCCTCGGCTCCGCGAGCCTGAGCGGGGTGCCCAAGAAGGAGCAGGTCGTGGCTCTGCGCTCAGCTCCAGCGAGACCAACAATAGCTCCCGCGGGGAGCGGAGCCTCAGCGAGCCTCCTGCCGCGCGCACACAGGCGCCGGCTCCCGCTCCCGGCCGCTCCCGGCCGGCGTCCCTTCCAGCACTGCTGCCCCACATGAAACAGCTGCAATCCCGAAGCTTCTGGGGGGGTTGGGGCGGGTGCGTGTGTGCGCGCGCGTGTGTGAGTGTGTGTTTAATAGCTTCCCTTCTCTTCTTCCCCTCCCTGCCTGCTCGCCTGCCTGCCTCAGTCCCCCACCCTCGCTCTCTTACACACAGAGAGGGCGAACGAGAGAGAAACACGCACTCACACACACACGCACACGCAGGTTACATGAATGGGAGGCGGGAGCCAATCCTACGAGGCCCGGCGGGCCGCGGCGCACGGGCGCACGGAGCAGGGCCGCGCCACGGCGCAGGGGGGCGCCACGCAAGGGCTGCGCAGCTAGCCCGGGGTCACTCGACCGCCTCTCCGCTCACCCTGTCTCTCTGTTGTCTCTGCAATGTCTTCCCTCTCTCCTTTCTTCCTTTCTCTCCGCTTCCTCCATCTCTCTTCTCTCCTTCTTACCTAATTTTCTCTCTTGAATTCTCAGAGCTCTCTCAATTCAGTATCTTTCTCGGTCTCTGGTCTCTTTTATCCTCCTTGCTTTCTTTCTCGCCTCCCTTTCTAACAAACTTTCTCCTGCCTTGTTCCCACTTTGCTCTACTGCCTTTCCTCCCGAACTGGCATTGTCTTGCTGCTCAGTAGCGTTGTCTGTTCTCCCTTTCCTCACGTCTCTCTGAGGTCTTGGTCGCCCTCCTCCCTACCCGCTGAACGTTATTCCATACCGCCCAACACTTTGCCCAGGATGGTCTGTTTCTCCAGTTGCTGCTGCAGCCCAACCAGACCTGAGAGCTGAAAACTTGAGTTTCTTCAGGCAAATAACATGCCCAAAGAAAGGCCTTTCTTCCTCAGACAACTTCCCCAAAGCCATGGTAACAGCTATTTAGTCATGATAAACACTCATTGAAGAAAAAAAAAAAATAGCAGTGTATGTGGCCCAAGAGCTTTCTGTCCCTTGCGTGTCTGGGTTGTGATCACTAGCACATAGCCAAGAGAAGGGCATATTTATGTGATGGGAGAGGTGGCTTGGTGTATCCTCAAATTGCAAAGGCTTTGGATAGAATGGAGAAATTCCCATCTCAAGCCTGCTGCATGGTAGCTATAGGACTCGGTGCAAACCCTTTCCCCTCACTCAGCTTCAGTTTTCTCATCTGTAAATGGATTAAACACACCTGACTCCATATGGTAAGGATTAAAAGAGAGAACAATGGAATAAAAGCACTGGGCATAGAAAATGCTCAATTAATGTTTGTTTCCTTCCCTCCCACCGATATACTATATTATGCCTTTATAATAAGACAATGCTAGTTTCAGACAAGTGTGAAGGAAAGGTAGGTGATTTTGAAAACTCTACATTACTGTGTGGTCTGCAGGCTGTCTAGTTGGTCACCACATTTTAATCTTGGGGTACTGGATGCTCCTTCAGTATCTCCTGAATGAAGCATGTGGAAAGGCAGGGGTGGGAGTAGGTTTCCTCTCACCCTGTCCAATCTCTTTTTAAAATCTTCATAATAAGGTATGTTAGTTACTTTTTTCTCATTGCTGAGACAAAATTCCTGACACCCAAAGTTAAAGGGAGGTTTATTTAGCTCACAGTTCTTAGAGGTTTCAGTCCATAGTCGTCTGGCTCCAAGACAGTGATGATAAACAGGCCTTGCACAGGAGAAACAATATGGTGTGCACAAGGTAGCAAAGGCAACAAGAGAGACCTGAACAGTGTCTTTCTGTCCCTTTTATCTTATTCAGACTACTGAGGGTAATAGCATTCATGCCCTTAGTCCTAGTGCCCTCAGGCCTATCCCCTGCCGTGAATCAATCACACACTAGATTTAACTACATCTGGAAAAGCATGAGGCTTTGGGGGAACATCTAAATATAAGCCATGACTGAAGGGAACACTGACCAGTGGCAAAGCCTCTGAGGCTAGCTAAAATGTTAAGCCTCCGCATTTATCAGTCTCATCTCCTTGCTACAGACATCAAATTCTGGTACCAGCTGTAACTGGCAGTCAGAGTCAGTTCTTCACCAAATATTTATTGACCACCTAGTCTGTGGCAGGTGTGCAATGATGGGTTCTAGGCATTTAGGAGTGAGTCTTTAAGGATGGATGCTCTGCTTTCTGAATTTACAATGCCCTAGACATGACTCATGAATATATAATGAGAAAAAGAGACATAATCTCAGAGAAGTGTTATTTGTTCAGTGGATAAAATCTTACAAATCATGAGGTCTATAACAAGGCGGAAATAAAGGGATCCTTGAGAGTGAAAAATTTAGGAGCCAGTTTCAGGCCATACACCTCCTTCACCCGATGACAGAACAGAAGCAGATGCTAAAGGAGTGTGTGAAAATATGGGAAACAAAGTATTAGCACAGTCTCTAAGTATCTCCACACCACACATTTATCATTTCAAAGGGGAAAATAGTAGATTTAGAGCAGAAAAACCTGGCACACTCCACCTTAATCACAAGACTAAAGTCAACATTCCCAATAGACATCATGTGGCTCCTAAAGTGACATACTGAGGACATAATGTCACTGCTGTGTCATCTCTGCTAGAAATGAATAACCTGAATCTAATTACAGAGACACATCAGACATACCCAAATTGAGGGCTATTGCATAAAATAAATTGTTTCATGTTACTTAAAAGTATCAGTCATGTAACGTTACTCCAGAGCAGTTACAGGTAAAAGCAGGAGTTTAGTTTATGACAATAAATGCAACATGTGCTTCTGAATTGGAACATTAATGCAAACACTGGTGAAGTTTTAAAGTCTGCAAATTGGGGAATAGCATATATCCATGTTCCTTTCCTGGCTTGGGCTGCTATGTAGAAGACTACCCTGATTTTTAGGAAATAGGCAACTCAAGTACTGTATAAAGAAATAAAAAGAAGAAACAAAGCCAACCTTGCCTTAATAAGGAGAGAGATGGGTACAGTGGGTGTCTGCCTAAGAAACAGGTAAAGTGTGAGCACAGAGATATGCCCAGCCTAAGCCCTGGGTGCAGAGGTGACTTCCTGTAGGAGGTGGCATTCAAAATGAGTTTTGAAAGCCCAGAATTTAACTGGAAGATAAGGAAGAAGGTCTGTTTGTTGGTAGAGGCAATGGTATGCAACAGGGACAAAAAAGCATGAGGCACTCAGCCTCAGAGTTGTGCCTGTTGGGGAGAGTCTAGGTGGAGTTTAGAGCAGTGGGTAG